TATAACTGATCCTCGACATCCTAACGCACAAATAATTGGAATTATTTTCACATTTGGCCCGAAAGCTTGAAATATGCACTTTTGCAGGAAACTTTCAATCATTTTATTCTTTTTATCTTTCTTTCTTTTCCGCGCGAAATATAAGGTTACAGCTACGAACACGTTAGCCGCAATTATCTTAAATATAGCTCGAAGGAGGTACAAAGTCCCATTTACTTGCAATCCTTTGTTGTTCTTTTAATGGCGTTTTCGTGCGATTGACACGCGATAAATTCAAATGGAGGAGCTCGTGGATTTTTTGCTCGTTTCCTCGAGTATCTTTGTTCCACCGTGGATATTCTATACATTGCGTATATCTAGCCGCGGCCTTCGAACTATTATCCCTTATCGCGAACCCGATGCTGGCTGCGCATAATCTGGATCTCTGTCAGCGATTCTAAACAAAGCGGCTCGAAATCTCTGTTTGGTCGACCGGCACGCAATTCCTTATCTAAACGTAAACTTTGCTTTTCTTTGTGGACAGGAAGAAACATGAAGAGAGGAGAGAGAGAGAGAGAGAGAGAGAGAGAGAGAGAGAGAGAGAGAGAGGGAATGTTGCTGTTCCATCTCTCTAACGACCAGAGAGAGGATTTTTTCTTTTTATTTGAAGAAGAGAAACATCGAGAAAGTAAAGTAAAACAACGTTCTTAAACAAATTGTTGCGTAGTGATTTATGTGAAGAATTTTCGAGCACAATGAGGTTTCGAAAGTTAAAGATTTGGATATTTGGACACTTGGAAGGCTGGCTGCTCTCAAAAGTTCGAGAGGCAGAAGATTGAGAGATTGTAGGAAGTAAAAAATTTCGAGAAAAATTGGGAAATTTACAAATTTGAGAAACGGAGATTCAAATATTTGAAGATCTTGCAAAATTAAAAAGCTGAGAACTTTAAAGATTTAAAGATCGGAGAATTTAAAAAATTTTGAGAACGTTTGGAGCGTTTCAAATTTAGCAGATTAAAAAAGAATAATCAGAATCAAAATCAGAGAATCTAACGTCCAAAAGAAAAAAAAAAAAGAAGAAAAGGAAATTTTTGAATTACAAAATCATGAAATAATTCAAAATTACAAAATTAAAAGGCATTTAAGTAACAATCTATGCACGCGTTGAACATCGAAGGCGCATTTCGTCGAGCGTGGCTTTATCTTTGCCATAAATCTCGAAATTCGTCGACGACCGCTATTCGTCCGGGTTAAATACGTCAGTGACGTTCTACGAAACCTATTGGCTCGTTAACTTGTCACGTGATAAATTGGTACACTGCCAATTAGTATATATGCTTTTAAGTTCTGGCGAAATGCCATTTGTTTACCAAACGTTTGTACAACTCAATATCGATGTTTGATTTAACCACGACGCACCGGTGGCTGACTTCTTTTCATTCGTCGTCCTTTCTTTATTTTCTTCAAAAACTTGGCCCATTTCCACGACACGATTTTCTCACGCTTTTACTTTTCTATCGATAAATTGCACACCTACGGATCTTAGAAAATGTAAGATCTTGCATGCAACATTTTTATATTTTATTTATCTTTAAAAGTTTATCTTTCGTATTATTTCCATTCCAATTGAAATGATACAAAATGATAATTTCATGATTTCGTGAGCTTCTCCATATAAAAGGGACCGAGTATAAAATCCTCCGTGATTCTGGATTTTGAATTTAAAATATAATAAATGTATCTAAACGGTAATAAAAAGATAATAAATGGATCTAAAATTTTATCAAAATCTTAGGCTAAGGGAACAAGATTAAAATCCTAATACGCTAGATAAGGAGAATATGAAATATAAATTACTCTAAAATTTCAGATTAAGGAAACACGAACATGAATAACGAAATACAAACATGATTCTGTCAAGATCCGAAATTAAGAGACTATTAAATACGAGTAATGAATTACACAAAATTCTTTACAGTCACCAAAAACATACTCATTCGCTCAACTTGAAAAATATAATCGATGTAAGGGAAAATTAAACTTTCTTAATTAAATTAAAATTAAAATTAAAATTAAAATTAAAATTAAAATCAAAATCAAAATTAAAATTAAAATTAAAATTAAAATTGAAATTGAAATTAAAATTAAAATTAAAATTAAAATCAAAATTAAAGTTAAAATTAAAGTCAAAATTAAAGTTAAAATTAAAGTCAAAATTAAAGTTAAAATTAAAATTAAAATTAAAATTAAAATTAAAATTAAAATTAAAGTCAAAGTCAAAGTTAAAGTCAAAGTTAAAGTCAAAGTTAAAGTTAAAGTTAAAGTTACAATTAAAATTAAAATTTCTTCAATTCCAATTCAAATCCAGAAGGAAATTCCGAAACGAACAAACATAAAATCCTGCATTATAAACAACAATCTTCATCCCCCGGAGAAAGCCGAATAGAAAATCCTCTTCAATTAGGGGAAACAAACGCTCAATTTGGCGTCGTTCGACTCCACAAAGCATCGTCGCATTAGTATCGCTATTCAAACGATATACACCTCGTCGCGTGCAGACATATCACCGATGCATCCCGCGTGTTTTGCAATTCCCGCGGAATCCGTGACTCGGTTTTCAAAAGGAACACGATCCTCCCCGTTGCGGGGCGCGCGTGAAGCGAATTTCGAACGCGTTTCTCGCACGCTCCGAAAAGGAATTCCATCGAATGGAGGACAGCGCGGAATTAGCATAAGAAAATTGGAAGCCCGATTTCGTATTGTGTGTACTCTCCCGTGGCGTCGTGCTTCCCTTGCCAGGGTGTTGTTGTGCGCGTTCGTCCAGCCATTTGCATTCGAATCGTTTCGAAACGCGTCCACGTGTCCGGTTGGACAGATTTTCGTCGATAAGAGACCTCGTTTCATTGTCACTGTCAACGATCCTTGTTGACATATATATGTGACATTATAATAACATAAATATTATAATATTATATGTTATATATAAATATATAATATTATAATACAAATAATAATTATTTAATTAATTATTATGTAGTATTAATTATAGTAACATAAATATTATAATATTATAATAATATAATTAATGATTATTTAATTAATTATTATGTAGTTAGTGTTAATTATGATAATATAAATATTATAATATTATATGTTATATATAAATATATAATATAAATAATAATTATTTATATTTATAACATATAATATTATAGTGTTTATGTTATTATAATTAATATTAATTACATAATTAAATATTATAATATTACATAAATATATAATATTATAATATTAAATAGTAATTATTTAATTAAGTGTTATGTAGTTAGTATTAATTAATTAGTATAGTATTATTAATTATAGTAACATAAATATTATAATATTATAAATATATAATATTATAATAATATAAATAATAATTATTTAATTAATTATTATGTGGTTAGTATTAATTCTAATAACATAAATAAATATTATACTAATATCATACATTATATATAAATATATAATACACACACACGCACACACATATATATACATATTTTTTATACGTATTAAAGAAATCCGCGATCATCTACTTTTTCATCCAATATATTGGAAAACGACGTTCGACCTCTAATCGTGTTTCTTATAAATAATTCCCAACACATTGCAGTAAAATTTCACCGACGACACGTTACACGGTGCTTTTGAGACTTCGAGATGTCGTAACAACGTATTGCCAAACGCAACGCAGGAAAAAAAAAAAAAAAGAAAAAAAAAAAGAAGAAGAAAGAGAGACGAACTCGCGACTGTCAAAAAAAACAGAATCTTTAAGCATTAAAATGAGGCCAAGCGGATCCATTTAGACCAATAGAATTTTTTACGAAGTTTAAATAGCTCACCATTTTTCATTGTCATCGGCGCAGTTACGCTCTTCGAAAATGGACGAAGAAGCGCAAGTTCGTTTCAAGGGAGAGGAAGAACGACGACGAGTGTAAAACGTTCAGAAGGCCGGTGAAAATGGCGGATAGTTTTCGAAGAACACCGGCAAAGGTTGGAGAGAACCGTGTGATTGGTCCAACGACCCGAACATCCGTCGCTTTTGAACTTGGTCCACCGTTAAATATGGCAACCGACGGCCTGGGCGACTAATGTGATTGCTGGCAGACTGTTAGAGGACGCTAAAAGCACCGTGTCGTAAACTCTACGTTCCGCGTGCATGGAAGAACAAGAGAGAGAGAGAGAGAGAGAACGAGTAGAGGGTCGATGAGCATACATAGCCACGCGTAGCATATCGGTTGCTACCGGCTACCAAACTTCCAACACTATCCGACAAACCCGGTTCCCTCCTCGTGTAATTTTGTCCACGGGTGAACTTTGTATCGGGCAGATGCGACCGAATGCGCGATCTTCAGACTTCGTTGATGAAATATTTCGCCTTTCCGCGCTCCTCGCGTTTCCGTGTAATTTCGGTATCGCAAATTGCAGCCGAATTGGAAACGTAAATAACTACCGGCAAGTAAAGCGCAAAATTTCCATCGGCGGCATCAAAGCAAAACAAACTTTGTAAAACTTTGTAACACGATCGGCTACGCAAGCTTTTATTCATATATTTCACAAAGAATCCTTCGAGTCTCTACTTTACACCCGTAAAACATCTAACAAAAAATTTTTTAATATAATTAATTGGTCATTTTGACCGTTTTGGTAGTTAACTAGCGTTAACATTGGATTTTCGTGTTCAAGGTACGGAGGAAGATACGAGTAAAAAGACGAAAAGAAACACACGAGGTGTGATCTGAGTGTGTTTCTAAAATAATATCGTTCGATGTTAAATTATTGGCTGTTGGATGTTTCAAGGAGGAGCGACGAACGAATGAAAAGTTATAGGATCGAAAATTAATGTCGCAGAGAATTCGACTCTGGTCGAATTCGAAAAGAATTGAGGAAGCTGGGAAACGAAGCGACTTCGGGGGAATCAGTATTCTTCGGAGGGATAATAATTATCGGAGCTTCGAAAGTTTGTAATTGATGCTTTCGGCGACAGTCGTTTGATGGATGGAAATAACTTACGGTATCATTTCGGTGTCGATATCTGATCTATCATCGTTCGAATACTATTTAATGGTAACTATAACTGACAGATACACGAGAAACTTGTCTATCGATCACTTAAATGAAACTGATACGTCGTGAATGAAGCTTGCTTGGTAATATCGTATATCGTTACGCGAACAACCTATCCAACCGCAATCTTATTCACTGACGGATGAATTATTTATAAATCGCGGAATGCATAATTCATAAAACCATCGCACCGTTGTAAATGTTATTTCTCTCCTCGCGTCTCCTCTCAATCCCGAAATTGCGAACAGCTAAACACTTGCTTTATCATGTTACTTACTCATTGTTGAACTTCGTAGCTAACAACGCGCCATAACTAAGCACAGTTTCTAGCTTACCTGAAACATAAATAGAGAGTAAACAATTACTTACTGCTCGTTGTATCCCGCTGTCAGTACATATCAAATAACACATTGCAAACTTTCCAGTACCAAGGAGATCGTTAATCCACACGCAAATTGCCAAACACTCGTATCGGGGAAAACTTCAATATTACTCTCGCGTGATATCAAAAATTTTTCAGTAACATTCACAGAGGCGGCAGCGAGTAATTCGTAGGGACAGCTCGTCTCGGCTCTCTAATATCCGAGAATGTCGATTACTAAAAAACGCGGCACAGTGAAATATTCGACGTCTACGCATTGAGATATAAATTTCAACGAAAACTTGGAATTTTCACAGAGGAGACATCTTGTCAATTTTCAAGAACGTTCGTTAACCAAAATCAGCAAATAGCGATCCGATCCGTCGTTAATTCCCTCTCTTCGTTGTTTCTCGTCGAGTTTCGCCGTTATCCAGCGATCACAGCTTTCGTTCACTGGGTCAGACGTAGCAGGAATAATCGCGGTGTCGTTAATTTATTCCAACAGGAATCCACGGCAAGTCCATAAAGCCGTGTTACCATAACCCCTTAATTGGCCCTCCCAGGAACCGTACGTCAATGGTAAATTTATGGAACCCCAAGGTCCGGGGGCTAATTCAATTACCGTTCCCATTAGGGCAAACTCTTCGTGGCCTGATTCTCTGTCATCTTGCGAACCGGCAACGAAAAGAGGGAAAGAGCTGTGGGACCCGATAGACTCTTGCAACATGCATACAGAGTCTCTCGTCTTTTAGAATGCGAGCTCTGAAAGCTCGCGATTTCCAACTCGTGATTACATTGGACGTACCGAGGATTTTCCGAAGCACAGCGGCTACGATTGGCGAAAGATCAGTCAACAAGACACACTTTCTCAATTATCTGAGACGTCAAGTGCAATTTGCATTCCGTGAAATTATTATGGGGCGAGGAAACGTGGGAAATTGCTCGGAACTTTTCCCTATTTGTCGCTTACTACTGCATGTCCGATGTGATTATCGTAAAAAACCAAACTTGGGGTTGTTTATCAAATCAAAATACGAGGGTATGGTCGTATGTGAGTGCAGGAATCGTAGCAAATCACGAATCGTAAGAATATCATAACGAATTGCGAGTTGTGATAGCTCGAGGGCCTTAACGTCTCTTGTCATCGCATATTTTCAGTATATGTTAATTCCTAAATTGATAAATTTTATTTATATTCATGTTAAACCACTACTAGGTTAAAGCCCACCTGTATTATTTCTGCCTACTATTACTATCGTTCGCCAGTATCTGTATTTTATATTTTTGTCACATCAATATTTGCTACGTTCCACTTCCAATTGGTTAAAGTTAAAAAAAAAAGAAGAGATGACGAATGGTATTCTAATTGTGATCCCTGGATATCGATAGGAGGAGGAAAACGCACGAAACAAACATCTGAACCAATCTTCAAGATCCTCCAATCACGAATTTCTTAATCAAAGATATTCGAGATTTCGTCGATTAAAGCGGGACGGGTAGAAATCGTTCGTTGAAAATCGGTCAAAGGAGAGTCGATGAGCACCCGGTTGTTTTGCAACGCGTTTATTCTTGGACGTCGAAAAAGGGGGGGGGGGGAGGAAGGGTGAACACGAGAGTGGGGAATCAGGATAATCGAAGACGACAAACGCAATTAATTAAGCTCGATTGCGCGCCGCGACGCTAAATAACGTTGCCTAATGAGAGAAATCATTAGAGTCGCGAAACGAGGATCAAGTTCGACTATTTCTCTCCGTCGCTCGTCGCCTCTCTCTCACTTCCTCTTTAACGAACTCGGCTCGAACGCGCTCGCTCCTTCCTTTCATCGCGAGACGGAGCGCGTTTATTTGCGCTGCCTTAATTGCAAAGTTTCGCCTCCTCGAAAAATCTCTGGGACCGCAAGGGCCGATCGAATTTCGAATGTTAACATAATTCGTGAACTTTCGAAGAGGCTGCTTAATTGGTTTAATTACTTTAACTTAATTCTGCTAATACCTCCGGCACTCTTTTTGGATACTTCATCAATCGAATTTTCTATTCTTTTGACACTATTGACATTTTAATAAAAAAAAAACTGTTAATGAATCTCAAAATGTAAACGAAGTGACAATTTCCCATCGTGTTTCAATATATTCTGCTTCGTCACAAAAATAGTATGTTTGAACGAAAGGAAAAACACAGGGGGAGGGGGGGGGGGGACGTATCACGTAGTCAAACAGCAATAAATCCAAATGTAGCTAAATTAAAACGAAAAAGATGTTCATGGACTTCGAAAACGAAAAGAGAGAAAAAAAACGAAACGAGACTGTCTCTGCTGTTTCACTACGCACTTCATACTCACAATCAGTCACGAGAATGTTGCAACAACGCGACCATCCAACTCGATGTATAATATTTTTTCTATTTTCGCGAGTTGCGCACGTGTACGTGCGTGTATGCCTGACGGGTTCCAATTTATGGAAATGTTCGTTTAAAACAAATGCAAAACGAAGAGGAAGAAAGATGAAATATTGTATCGGAAGATTTGTTTAATCAAGACTAACGCGTGTTTTATTGGTAGTTCGTTTAACATGACTCTAAAAATAGCGCTTCGGGGAAGGGGGGGGGGGGGGGGAAAAAAATTT